GTTATTATGCACCAAACCTTCATAGGGAAAAGGACTAAGAACGGAAAGAGGAAGGAAAGATGTAAAATACATAAAGAAATAAGTAAAGTTTTATAAATAGAATGAGCACCATAAGTAAATGATACAGCATCAATGTGGGTGTATATTTTACCTAGCCTCAGAAGAATATAGGGGTAGCCAGTCACTGAATTTATCATTATTCCGAGTATGGTTGATTTCCTAAAGGAATGAATCTGCTATTAATATAAAGATAATCTATTCTAGTTGAAATCAAATGAAATTCTCTTTTCCTCTGAAAACTTTGCCCAAAAGTAAAAGAATCATAAATGGATTTTATTTTCCATTTTTAACTTACAAAACTAGTTATCTGAATAAAATTTAAAGTCAATGCAGGGCTGGGGATTTAGCTCAGTGGCACAGCACCTGCCTGGAAAGTGCAAGGTCATGAGTTTGATTCCCGGTACCAGAAAAAAACAAAAAAACAAACAAATAAAGTCAATGCAATAATAATGACTTTTGGAAAGTCCAGTATTTGGAGGCATATTATACTAGATCCAAAGGACACAAGTATGATTATACTCCCTACCTGTAGAAAACCCACTGGTATGTAAATTAATAAATTGCAATACTGCATAGCAAGGGCAATAGGAGAAGCTGGCACAAGTAGAAGAAATGATCTAAAGAGTAGTAAGGTAACATTTTCCTGGTTGAAGAACAAATAAATCTGCAGGAAAAAGGATGGAAGGGAAGCTGAGCTGACATCACAAGCAGAGACACTAAGTATGCAAAAGCTTAGGGTACTGGAGGGGAGTGTAGGCCTGACCGGAGGATAAACAGTGAGGGAAAGGAGTGGAAAGTAAATGCTGGAAAGTAGAGGATCAGGGCCTGCCATACTCAGTTTATTCCATGGAGATAAAGAGCTGGCAAAAGCCTTTTAATCAAGAAAAATACATGATTAGAATTGCAGGCGTTTTGTTTTTGTTTATTAACATTTATGTATTGCAGTACTGGGATTGAACTCGGAGCATTCACACTGACCTATATTCCCAGCCCTTTCTGAGGCACGGTCTTGCTAAATTACGCAGGCGGGGGTTGAACTTTCCACCCTCCCACTTCACCCTCCCAGGACGCTGGGATTACAGGTAGGCTCCACCAAACCTGGCTAGGATTTGGAGTTTTGAAAGCTGACTTTGGCTGCACAAAAGAGACTTGACTGGCTCAGAGGTTAGTTACAGGCTGTAAAAACAGTGTAAGTAGGAAGAAAGCCTAAACTGAGGCAGTGGGGTGAGAATGTAGAGTGGAGGAAAAATACAAAAGATTGCACACTGAGATTCATCCACTTTGTGACTGATGAAAGGGATGGTAGTGGGCAAAGTATCACCAGCTAGCATGCGTCCTTGCTTTAGTAGAAATGGAAATTAAAATGAACGCATGATTTTGTAGGAATGAAAGCTTTAACTGAAAAGTAAAAGAAGAGAAGAACGTACTCCAGCTTGGGTGGTAGCTGGGGAGAGGGCACATTCTGATAGAGAGGATCAGTCCCCTTCCCCCAAGCAGGTGGGCAGATTTTTTTTTTTAGTTTTTTTCTTTGTCTTTTTGAGACAGGGTCTCATTATGCAGCTCAGGCTGGTTTTGAACTCACTTTGTAGCCCATGCTGGCCTAGAACTCACAGCGATCCTCCTGTCTCAACCTCCTGAGTTCTGGGATTACAGGCATGCACCACCACGCCTGATGTGGACAGGTTTAAATGACTACCTCAGGTGGGCCAGTTGATCCTTATCTCAGTCCCACTTTAACAGGAGTGGAATTCTCATGGTTTGAGGGGTGGTTCTGTTCCCATAAAATGATGATCTCTGTTTGTGGTGGTTTCAGCCAGGTGAGGCTCTGCTTTTCCTGGAATCCAGGTGCTCACAGGATTGGGATAAAAACTGGAGACGTCCAGGTATAGTTGCTGTTCCTATAAACCTCTTATCCTGCTATCCTCAGTCTTCAAGGGCAATGAGATAGACTAGGTAGATTTAAGGCTAATAGCCATGCCCTAGATGACTAATATGACTATTTGCAAAGCTGAGAAGGCTTTGACCCAGAGTTTCACAAAATAAAGATCAAAATTTGTGCTACCTAGTTATCTATTGGGCAAAATCCCTTTTAAGTCCTGACTGCCTTAGGGGAAAGCACAAATCAAGCTTTTGATAAGTAGCAGGTTAAAGGGCCATCATTCTGCCCATCCCCCACCCCTCAGTGCCTCTGACTGTGTCATGACTGTGTCAAAGGGAAGGAAGAGAAGGCAAAGAAAGAGCAGTGACACAGTCCAGAAGGGAGGGGGAACCGGCAGAACCCCGGGCCCTGCTACTCATTAAAAGCATGATTTGTGTTTTCTTCTTGGATTGTTGAGGACTTGAACCCATTTTTGCTGAGAGCTGTGCCTTCTCTAGGGCCCACCGATGACCAATGAGTAACGAAAAGCAGAACAAACCTTACCCTTTATTTTGTATCCTTGGCTATTGCAAATCTTGGGTCAAATCTCTCCTCAGCTCTGCATAGGGGGGTGTGCTGATCATTTGGGGAGTGCCGGTAGGAGCTAGCTGGACAGGGTTGATTAGCCCTGAATTGACATGATCTAATCCCCCACTCGAAATGGGGGACACCAAGATGTGAGGTTTACGGGGGCATTCAGCTACACCCAAAACACTCCCACCATTCCCCTAAGCCTCAGCCCCACATGACTGAGACCACCACAGTCAGAGACAGTCCTTTCCTGGAAAGGAAACTATCCCTCAGCCATAAAGATACCAGGCCCCAGCCCAACAGACAGTCCTTAAAATTTGGTCTCCTGCCTTTGTGGATTGGCCAGTCTAAACCCCTGTACCACAGTGTGCCTCTCCAGCTACCTAAGCCGGAGTGCTTTCCTATCTTCCCTCTAACTTTCCAATTAAAGCTTTTTTTCCCTTGTAAATTTGTGCCTTAGTTTTAATTTCCATTTGTACTAAAGCAAGGACCCATGCTAGCCAGTGACAGGAGGAATTGAGAGTTACTTAGAAATTTCTGGCATGGGGGGAAAATCTCGATATTTGGCATTCTCTGACTAAATTAAGGAATGAAGGAAAACAAGCGAGAGGGCATAATGACAGGTTCTCTTCTTGACCAAACTTTATTTGGGCTTCTTCCTTATCTCAACTAAACTATATCCTTGAGTCTTGTCTTGGGCCACTGAAACCTGGGTTTAGCAGGAATCCTCTAAATCAGTATAGAAGGAATCCCCTATCTAGCTAGCCTCACCTGCCTTCGGTTTATTTTTCCTTTATTTTTGTTTATTTATTTATTTTTGGTCTTTTTGAGATAGGGTCCTGCTATGTAGTTCAGGCTGGCCTTGAGCTCACTTTGTAGCCCAGGCTGGTCTCAAACTTGCAACGAGGATGTCAGCATAGACATCCTCCTGCCTCAGCCTCTGCCTTTGGTTTAGCAAGTATGTCCCCTTTCCTTCTTGTCATCTCAGTAATTTTTTACCCACTGGCCGGACTTGAGTTTAATCTCTCCCTCACGCAACACCTGTATAATTTTTCTTGACATCTTAATAAGTGTTTTACTTTGAGAGTGGAAGAAATATCTCTCGGGAACTAAAGTACTGTCACATTCCTAAGTTTTCACTTCAGCATACATCTTTTACCTATGGCATAGCTAAATACCATGTCTATGTTAGGTCCCTCTTATTGTACCCCGCCCCCAACCTGAAGAGAAAAACTCTGACAGACCATCACTCTGTTCATTCAGAAAGCCCCTCACTCAGCTCGAGAGACTAAAGTAAATCTGTTTATCAAGATGGTTCACAGGCTTACTTCTCAGGCTTACAGGAAACCTCGTAAGTCTACAGAATGCCACGCTGTAAATTAGCAACATGCAGATGTCCTCCTGCAGTTTCCTCCCCAAGAGGCACCAATCACCCCTGAGAATCAAATTTTCCACCTTCCTCAGTGAAATTTCCCCCTCCCATACCTAAAATAGTTTATAAGGTAGGCCCTCTTCCTTTGTTTGGGGCTAACGGCCTTTTGGCCCTGGGCCAGGCTGCACCCAGTCTGAAATAAAGATATCCCCCTGTTTGCTTCAATCCCCCCTGTCCTGGTGGTCTCGGTCGGTACTCGGGATCTAGCCTGACAGTCTAGCTAGAGTGTAGCGAAATAACCTGCTGAGGTTTACCGGGCGTTATGATAGACACAATCCACCCACTTGTGTCCCAAGAGCCCAGCAAGCCGGCTTCCTCACTCTAATTTTTTAAAAATTCTATTATTCAACACCTACCAAGTTTGGTTCTCATACAGTTCCCTTTCTAGCGGGGCTGGGCTTTACCATCATCTCACGGAAATCTTCAGCATAGACATCCACAAAGAGAACCTGGAGGGCAGAGTCTAAATCTTGGCGCCCAGTTAACACTAGACCCGCAGCGGGCTGTAGTTTGCTTATCCGGTGCGCACCAAATGCCAGAATCGGAAGAAAATAAGTGTTAACGATGGGGCCGCTGGGGTGATAGTATATGCTAACTCCAACTGCAGATGTGAAAGCGCTTTTGAGTGACATCAGTCCGGGTCGCCGTGTCCAGGGACGATACAGAAGAATCATCTCAAAGGGTGACAGCAGCGTGGTAGGGGTCGGCCGTGCACTCACACCGCCCAGGATGCTGGTTAACCTCAGCGGGAAAACAGAGCACGCACAGGGCCTTCAGGGGCGAGATATCGCGGGTTAGCTCTGCTGAATGGAGTGGGAGACTCGAAACAAGCAAGTACGGACTACGTCCCGAGTTGCAGCGATGACTGGACCCTAACACAACCCTCCACCAGGCCACGCCTCTCAGGACGCACGCAGGCGCGTGCACGCACGCACGCCAACCCCGCGCCGTCAGGCCCTATTGCGCATGCCCCCGGGTGCAGGAGGGTGAGGCGATTGACAGGGGCAGATGCCCCGGGGGCCGCTCCCAGGCCGGCGGGTAGACCCGAAAGGCGCTGCGTCACTTCCTGTGGGGCGGAGCGGAGGTGAAAGGGGCGGAGCTGGAGGGGTGGTGCTCCGGCGGCTGCGCGTCTGTTTGTGTTGCAAACCCAGCTGATGCTGGCTGGCCGGTGTGGACGTCGGAGACCGGGCCGGGCGGATCGACACTGCCCCCGAGGAGATTGCGGCCTGCATCCCGGTGAGTGGCCGCGACGGGGCAGGGCGGGGTGAGAGGCAAGCTGACGGCTGGGGCGGGCCGTTGTGCGGCCTCCGGGCCTCCCTGTGTCTCCCGTGGACTTTTCCAGAGTCGCCGCCCGGGGAGACGCCCGCCCTCCGGGCGTGGGGCTGCGGCGGGGCGGACGGCCGTGCGCGGCGCCCTCTGCCCCCGACGCCCGCGGTTGGGTGTCTCCGGCCCTGCCCCGCACCCCGCACCCCGCGCGGCTCGGCGGAGTGCGTCTTTCCCGGGTCCGCGCTCTCCCGCAGCTCCCGGGGACTCTCGAAAGTGTTCCATCGTTCCGTCCTTGTGCTCCGTCGTTCTCGACTGTCAGTGCATTTTGCGCTTCCTCCGCTTGGTGACTGTATCTGTCACCCGGATCTGCCTTCCTCCCTGACTGCTGTTGCTTGCGGGGAGTCGGGTGGGTGTGCTTTCTCAAAGCTGGTGGAGCTGTGTGAATCAGTGTGTTGCCGTGCGGGAAGCCCATCCGTAGCCCTGTGTCATTTCAGTGATCATGCTGGGAGGACCCGGTTTCCACGCGTACTGCAGTAACTATAAAGAAAAGTGGTGATTCCCCAAGGAAAAATTTAGAAGAGATGTGACATCAGACAGTACTTTTATTTAAAGTGCTATGTTTACTTCCAGGAGCAGTTGTATTCTAGATCTGTACTCCTATTTGTTGAGTTTTTGTTTTTGTTTTTGTTTTTTGGTATTGGGAATCGAACTCAGGACCTTGCCCTTGCCAGGCAGGCGCTTGTGCCGCTGAGCTGTATCCCCAGCCCCATTTGTTGAGATTTAGAAAGGACAAAAATATGTTGCAGGAGATCAAGGAAATGCCAGTAAGATAGTGACATATTAAGAATGTTAAAATTTTAAAAAATATGTTAAAACCTGAGGATTTTTTTAAAAGTGCATTAAATTGAATTGGGAGCTTGTGCTTTGTATGAGACATTTGCATCAATCTCATTATAGCCATTTTGTTAAATTGTTTATGTAAAATTGTACTTTTACTATTAGGGCATGTTATTTATTTATTTTTGGTCTTTTTGAGACAAGGCCTCGCTATGTATTGCAGGCCTGCCTTGATCTCACTCTGTAGCCCACGCTGGCCTCAAACTGGCAGCAATCCTCCTGCCTCAGCCTCCTGATTGCTGGGATTACAGGTGTGCATCACCACACCTGGCCCTTTCCTTTTAATTGTGCTTTTTTCTATTCTTTGTCTTGTTTTCCCATTATATATATATACCAGATCTAAATTACAATCTTGTAAGCAATGATCTTTTCATGAGTGCTATTGGATGAAAGATCAGTTTCACAATTTATATATTCACTGTTTCACAATCAAAGTTGGGACAAGAATAGCTTTGAGTTGTTTCCTCCAGCAGTTAAGAGTGGAAAGGTGCATTTTGCTTCACTCGTGGAATCTACATTTGTAAAAAGATCAGAGTAAAAACGAATAACCCTAGACCTTTCTGTTCAGTCCTTTCTCTGTTCTAATCTTTCTCCCCCACCTCAAGTATTTTATTCTATTCACTATCCATTACTTTTTAAAACTTGCTCCGGAGTGCTGGACATATCTTTGTCTCCTGTGTGCTCTTGCTTTCTTGAAAGGCTTTTTCTTTTCTTCCTAATTCTGGATGGTATTCAGGACTCTATTTGGTTCTCTCTAAACCAGCATTTTAACATTCTGAAACCCAAGGAATACTAGAGATTTTTCAGGTTGTATGATTCTCAAATACTCAGTTGTTATTGGTATTATTATTACCATTATTCTTACGAAGTTTTCCTTTGGTGTATCTGACCAGTATAATGATTTCAGCTATCACTGTGCTAATTCCATACATAAATTCACAGTGCAGGTACATCTTAATTTGAGTGCCCCACCATTATTTCATCTTGTAAATCCAAAAGAAAATTTACTTTTCCCTTAAATTGACTGTTTCTCAGTTTCCTCATATTCACAAATGGATTCTTATTTTGTCTGTGATATTTAAAATCTTATAGTTTCTCTTGACATCTTCCTTTCCTTACCATTGTTGATTGTCAGCAAAGCCAGTGTTTCATTGTTGTTTTATGTGGTTTTGCTTCCAAATGTGGCTCAGGCAGCCCTCTTCTCCATTCTAGTACTGTTACTGAATTCAGACATTTTATTACCCTTTTGGCTGGATTATTGCAATAATTAAGTGAGATCTGTAAATCATACTTTCCATCCAGGTTTGGGCCTCCACCCAGCAATTCCCTTAATTTTTTTAGTTAGAACTCCATTCCTTTTCCTAGTGGTTGGTCTGCATCTCTCTTCCTCCTACACCTCCATTGTATTTATGTGACCTCTATTCTTTGCTCTTTTCTCAGTTGATAGCCTGTCTCACTTTACATTCTTCTCCCTGTTTTTGTACTCTTAGCTTTTGTTATGGCTGAGTTTACTTTCAGAACACCTTGCACTTACTAGTGTTGTCCTTTGGTAACAATTAACTTAAACTTGTTAATTTTACAATTGCTATTGTAAGTTTTGCACGGTAGTTTCTAAAAAAAATTATTAAAGATCTCTCAGTTTGATCATAAAATTATCTTCCTGTATGGTTCTCATTTTTGAGTATTATATATCACTGCAAGGTTGATAGTTGTGTTCATAAATAGTTATAATGATTGTGTGTGTTTGTTTGTTTTTTCCGGTACCGGGAATCGAACTCATGACCTTGCACTTGCCAGGCAGGCACTGTGCCGCTGAGCTAAATCCCCAGCCCCCATATGTATGTCTTTTTTTTTTTTGGCAATACTAGGGATTGAACCCAGGGCCTTCAAACTGAGCTACATCCCTAGCCTATTTTTAAATTTTTATTTGAGAAGTAGTCTGAGTTGCTAAATTGTCTGGGCTGGGTTTAAATTTGGCATGCTCCTACCTCAGCCTCCCAGAGTGCTGGGATTACAGGCCTGTTCCACATTGCCCTACTGATAATTGTGTCTTTGAAACAATGCAAAGTCCTTAATCATAGCATAGTCCTTAACGTTGCTGTCTTCTGCTTCAGTCTTGAGCCCATTCAGTCCCCTTGTCCTTGCTGTTCTGAATATAAAAAGCTTGTTCCTGTCACCAGAGTTACTGTTTATCTCTGCCTAGAATTTGTTCTCAGATTCTCAATAATTTAAATCTCAGCAATTTAACAATTTATTATTAATTTCTCAATAATAATATGTTTCCTCACGTGATTCAGATCTTCACTACAAGGTCAGCTCACCCCTTTTGACTATACATCTATAATAATACTCTACCACTTGCCGGGCGTGGTGATGCACGCTTGTAATGCCAGCACTTGTGAGGCTGAGGCAGGAGGATCACTGCAAGTTTGAGACCAGCCTGGGCTACAAAGTGAGCTCAGGGCCAGCCTGAACTGAAGAGTGAGACCCTGTCTCAAAAAGACAAAAAAAAACCCCTCTACCTCTTGCTTTGTCTTAATTCATGGCACTTCTCATTCTGATAACATTGTATTATTATTATATTATAATATTATAGTATAAGACAGTATTAATATTTTAATACATTCTGATGACATTGTATTATTATTATTAATGTCCCTTTTAATTGTTACATAATGCCATTACCTTAAATTTGTCTTAAGTTTCTTCTGTTGTGTCTTTGAACATCTTAGACTCATTTAATTTTTATTTCTAAATCTTGGTTACACATTTTCCTGCTGCTGTATTTCCTGATTATCAATGTAGGTGATGGTTCATTTCCTTGCATGTTTTGTAATCTTTCTGCGTTAATGTTCAGCTCTTGCTTAGTGTGGGTGTCCCGTTGCCCTGGGCTTCGGCAGTGTCCTTACTTGGTGGTTTCAGTTGAATGCTGGAGTTACCTGCAGATCTTACCAGTTTTCATTTGTGTATCACCGTAGGGGTAGTGTGACTGTAGATCCAGGCCTGAAAAAAGTTCAACTTGTAGATTTCCCTCTCTTGGTTTTGAGCATGGCTTTTTATCCACAAGTACTCTAACTCTATTTGTTGAAGTACTTCTTTTTTTTTTTCTCTTGGTTTTGAGATAAGTTCTCGCTGTACAGTTCAGGCTGGCCTCAGACTTGGGACAGTCCTCCATTTCAGCCTCCAAGTGCTGGCATTACAGGCATGTGCCACTATGCCAGGCCATGAAGTATTTCTGTCTGGTGGGGGTTGCAGGGCTTTTGTGTTAATCTGGTTTATAACATTGTCTGCAAGCCCTGAAAGTCTCAGATGAGCCAAGAAGGCAGACAGGTTTGTACCTTTTTTCTTTTTTCCCCTGTACAATTGAGTGGTTTTCTTTTTTTGTTGTTTTTTTGGGCTGGTTTTTTGGGTTTTTTGTTGTTGGGTTTTTTGTGTGTGTGTGTGTGTCTTTTTTGAGACAGGGTCTCACTGTGCAGTTCAGGCTGGCCTTGAGCTCACTTTATAGCTGAGGCTGATCTCGAACTTGCAACAATCCTCGTGCCTCAGCCTCCCAAGTACTGGTATTACAGGCTGCAATTGTTTTTAAAATAATATGTGCACATGCAGTATAGAAAGGGGATTTTGGTTCACAGTGTCATATTATTGATAATTATATATATTATAAGTTCTTGGTTCTGTCGTTCTTAGTATCATTTTACACCTTTTCTTCAAATAATCTCTAGGTCCTACAGTAAAACTATACTATTGCAATTTCTGAACATACTCTATGTGCTTTCCTACATGCTTGTTTGTTTGCTTGTATTTTTACTGTTATCTACTTCCTCCCATATCATCCTTCTTAAATTGCTGCTTTTCAGGAGGTTGGTTTTTGAGATAGTCTCACTGTGTAGTTTATGCTGGCCTTGAACTCACTGTGTCACCCAGGCTGACTTCAAACATGGTGATCTTCCTGATTCAGCCTCCCCAGTTCTGGGATTATAGGCCTGGCTTGTCTTCCTGGTTTTAACTGTTTGAGAATGTCATATATTTGGAATCTTACTGTTACAGTCTGTTTGTATCCCCAAAACCTGCAT